TTTTTTTTTTTTTTTTTTTTTTTTTTTTTTTTTTTTTTTTTTTTTTTCTGTATAGGTAGAATTACGTCGTGCTATACCTCGTACATCTTATATAACACCATTTCGTGGTGGTGGTATACCAATAGGAGGAGGAGGAGGAGGCTGTCCTCCTCCAGTAGGAGGAGGACCAGGAGGACCCCCTCCGTCTGCTGCAGCAGCTGCAGCAGCAGCAGCAGCTGCAGCTGCAGCAGGAGCAGCAGGAGTAGGAAGAGGAGGACTAAATAATACACTTTCTTCCTCCTCTTCTTCCTCTTGTAGACAACAACAAGATATAAATGAATTTAATCATCAAGAAGAAAATGATGAAAAAGACTGCAAAGTATTTATTGGAGGTATTCCTCCTAATATGACTACAGGTAATTAATTAATTAATTAATTAATTAATTATATTTATTTATTCTATTAATTTAATTTAATTTAATTTAATTTAATTTAATTTAATTAATTAATTAATTAGTTAATTATTATCTCCTCCTCGTGTGTGTGTGTGTGTGTGTGTGTTGCTATATTTGCTCTATCTCTACGATTTTCGTCCCTCTTCCTCCCCTTTCTGCTCTCCTCCTCCCTCGTTCCGTCCCTCTCCCTGCTCCCATCCCTTTCCCTGCTGTCCCTGTTGTCCGTTGATAGAAGAAGTGCAGGCATATTTTTCTCGTCGTTTTGGTGTAGTGCGTCGTGTAGATTTTTTTTATGACCGTCTTACAGGTCGAATGCGTGGATTTGGATTTTTAATTTTTGTATTTCCACATTCAGCTAAGATGGCAATTGGCCACCATCAATTAGGGGATTCTATAGTAGAAGTTAAGAAAGCTGTTGATAAGTATGTTATTTATTATATTATTTTTATTCTTTTTTTTTTTCTTCTTCTTTTTTATACTTTCTTATTCATCTACTCATTATTTACTCCATTTTAATGGGTCTAATAACATGACCTATCTATCATGTCATTTCGAGTATCTAGTCATTATTATTTTTTTTTTTTTTTTTTTTTTTTTTTTTTTTTTTTTTTTTA